GGGTCCTCCGGGTCAGCGTCGTCATGTCCGTTATTTTCTCCGCTCGAAGCACGTACTTCAGGCGCGGCTGGAGCAGGTTAAACACTACCTGCACCAAACTCGCCTCCGGCACCTCGGGCAGCAGCCACTGGGCCATTGACCGCTTCCGCTGGATGAAGCGGGTCACGTTCTCTTCTTCTGGCTGCCGCTCCCCGTAGAATTTGGACGTCAGCTTGGCCACTCTCTCGTCGTCCATGAATGTTTGTGCGAAGATTTCTCGGAAATCTTCCCACGACATCTCCTGGCTCCTGTACCACAGGAACTCCTGCTCCTGGGCCCCCTTGATTTGGCCTAGGGCGTGGAACGCCCATTCTTCGGCCGGAATTCGCCGCTTTTTAAGGGCCTCCTCCATTTTCCGCAGAAAGAACTGCGGGTTTTCGTGGTCCTCCCCTTGATATGTGGGGAAAACCACACGCTGCATGGGTACCTCCTTTAACCCGATGGCGAGCTCCTCGAGTAGCACTCCCAAGTCCGCCCTGGGTATCCTGGATGATGGGGGGACTTGTCCGGGGTCCAAGTCCGATGCTCGGGCGCCATGTTGTAGACGGTGGCCCCCCAGGGGGTCCATTCCCGTCTGGTGGTCCCCGAGGGCCGTCACTTGTACGTCCAGGGACGAAGCGAGGGGCGCGCTACCTCCGGGCCCGCCGAGGTATTCTTCGGTCGCGTCGGACTCCGTACTGGGTGCCGCGGGGTCCGTCTGCGTGCCGGCGGTCTGCATCTCGGCCATGGCGGGTTCACGTACGGGGTGTCGGTCGGCGGACGTCTGGCTTCGCGTCACGACGGGCATTCAGTGGGGCCGTGGGGGCCGAGCGGTGGAGCTGCGGTGGCGGCGAACGTCCCGGCGTCGATGGGCGTCGCGGCGGCGGCGATGGGCGTCGCGGCGGCGATGGGCGTCGCGGCGGCGATGGGCGTCGCGGCGGCGATGAGCGTCGCGGCGGCGATGGGCGTCGCGGCGGCGATGGGCGTCGCGGCGGCGATGGGCGTCGCGGCGGCGATGGGCGTCGTGGCGTCGCGGCGGCGATGAGCGTCGCGGCCTTGGCGGGCGTCGCTACGTCGTGGGCGTCGGTGTAGTGGTGGGCGTCGTGGAGCGGCGCGGCAGCCGTGGAACGTCGCTTAATACTTACCCAGCGACCCGTGGTAATTGATTACTCGAAGTATTTCTTTCTTTTTTTTATACGTCGGTAACGTGATTATCGAACAGTTATTTCTTTCTTTTTATATGTAGGCTGGCGAGCAATCGTCCGGGTGGACCGATGTGCGAGCAGCGAAGGTAGGTCGTTGAGTAAAACCACAGAGTATCTTCAGCAAGCAGGCTTGACCTTTCTGGCACCTAAGTCTCGGTTAGGAGCCTTAGATGTGGAGCAGTCGAAGGATGGCGCGGAAGAGAGAATGAATGCTCGCTTGCGCCGCCTTTTAAGCAAGTCGAGCTGATCAGTGCAGTCTGAGCGCTAGCCAATCACTGACCAGTCGTCGACAGCCACTAGTGTGGCATCAGTCTTCATGAGTCATATTTTTACATTTTGCAATATTGCACAATATTTAATAATATTTTATTTTTTTTTCGGCATTAGCAGGGGCGGTGGGGCTGTGCCGTATTTGCAATTTTAACACATCATTTTTGACAACTGTCATTTTTAATACTTATATATTTCGTTAATTTCCGATCAATTCCGAACGTTTCCGAATTCTTCCGGTAGCTCAAATGTTGTCAATGTCATAATAAAAAAACATGCGAGAATTATGAATAAATAAATGTATTTATAGCATTTTTGCATTTAAACGACTTCTTAAGTCACGTAATATGATAATTTTAATACAGGTATTTTTAAGTTATACAAAACATATTTTGCATTTTAATTAGGGGGAATTCAAAGAAGGAATTTTTAACACCTGTCTTTTTTGACACCTGTCATTTTTGACACCTGTCATTTTTGACACCTGTCATTTTTGACACCTGTCATTTTTGACACCTGTCATTTTTGACACCCGTCTTTTTGACACCAGTCATTTTGACACCTGTCATTTTTGACACCTGTCTTTTTGACACCTGTCATTTTTGACACATGTCATTTTTAGCACCTGTCATTTTCAAGGTCATGCCAAGGTCACGTCAAGGTCTTGGACACCTGTCATTTTTGATCAATTCCGAACGTTTCCGAACCACGCAATTACATCTCACCACTGTGAATATATTAATTACAATTACAATTTTTAGGTTAATTTTGTGCGCCCTTGTAATATTTGGTACGAGCCTAATTTGTACGCTCCTGTAGTATACGTATAGTTCCAGCAGGTGGCGTCACATGCGGAAAACTTCGAAGTATCGTGCAAGGGTGCGACCGCCCAATGGGGCCTCTAGGGAAGTGCGTCTCAATGTGTGAGAAAAAAACGCCAGTGTGGCGCCAAAATAAATTAAAATTTCGAAATATTGTGCAATTACCAGACTTGAGGATCAACCAGGCAAGTGGCGCCACCACGAGTCATAATTTTGCATTTCCCAGTAAAACTTTTACAATTGGTTGGCGGCCATTTTGAATTCAACAAGCCCCGCCCATCAATATTTCTGCAATTGGTTGGCGGCCGGCGGCCATTTTGAATTTCCCGCCCATCGTGTAACGCCAACGAGTGCACAGCCCAGCATGTGGCGCCACCATGCGGCCGAAATGTGAATAGTGAGCCAGAAGCCCCATAGCTATTCTACTGCTATCTATTTTAAATTTTTATATTTTCAAAATTCTGGATATTAAAAGATTTAGGGCTTTTCATTGAAAATTTGATTTTTTTTAGGATGTTAAAAATAAAATATTCTTTAGGATGCCTTCTTAGGAAAAAACATTGAAATCATCCATTCCTTATGTTAATTTTCCTATGCTTTATATTTTCAAAATTCTGGATATTAGAAGATTTAGGGCTTTTCAAAGAAAATTGGAAATTCTTTAGGTTGCCTTTTTGTAAAGAAACATTGCCATCATCCATATCTTATGTTAATTTTCTTATGCTATCTATTTTAAATGTTTTATATTTTTAAAATTCAGGATATTAGAAAATTAAGGTGTTACACCTAAATTTCTTCGCAAGCTTATTTCGGTGTAACGGTGCCAGCGACTAGCTATTAGTGAAGAGGGGAGTGGATACAAAAAATAGTTGATGTTAATTTTGGGAGCCAGGTAATTTACTTATAATACGTCAGGCACGATAAGTCTTCTTCTTCTTTGAAAAATTACCAAAAGAAAAGAAAAAGGTAAAGCTACTTAAGGAAAAATATATAAATAAAAGATATAACATATATTAGGTATATTGAAATATAAATGTAGACAATTTTTCTGGTTGTTGAGTGTGTACAATTATTGAATGGTTACCTATGCAGTCCTAGAGTAATTATATCAAACAGAAAATATAAAAGAATAATAGAGTATTGGTGATATATACAGCGATACGCTCACGCGCTGATATAATTAATAAACTATTATTAAAGTATCAATAATATAAGCTAATTCGTTAAATTTAATTAATAATGATAACACAAAAACCAACTTGATTTACTATTTTACCAAAGTGATCACTAAGGCGCACAGAGTAACTAATATGTCTAAATATAATATTTAAAATTTACATATGCCGGTAGGCAACCCAGCATACACACAAAATTGAACCTCCCAATGTCGGTTTTGTTTAAGATTCACTATAATATCTCCTAGGCAGTCGTAATTGAAGGTAAAATGGCAAAAGAAAAATAAAAATACAATTTTCCTGAACTGACAGGGAAAAACTTACTCGGTATTAGCGGTTAGACTAAGATATAACTTAAATGACAGCCCTGGAAATAATATATCTTATTATTATTCAATATATAGATTTTAAAGATAACAAAAAAAAAGAAATTATGATTCTTGTCAAAATGACAGTTAGTACGTATGGTACACTTTTATCAAGTAAATAAGAAATGGGGTAAATGGTAAGTTAATTCAATTATTTAAGAGAGAGGTAAGGAAAGTAAACTTATCCGTATCCTTGTCTGGTCAGCAGCAGATGATGAGGAACCAGTGTAAAGCTAGTTTGTCTAATCCGGGTGGTGGTCAAGTCGAGGTGCTACTCATTCGGAGTAGTCTTGTCACTGTGGGCGGGAGTTAGTTGTCACAATCGGGTATTTTTCTTGGCAGGTCCTTGTTCCAGTGGGGCTGTATCTCCAATATATATGTATGTATATATCCAACAGGATATCCAAACGCCAACCAAAGAAGAGAACGCTGGTATACTGAGTGTAGACGTATGATAAATCACAGCAAAATAAACGTACGATAAATTCCTCGTACGGCTAAAACAAAAGCCTATTGCTAAGGCAAAAAAAGGAACCCTACAAAAAAAATACAGGAACATTACACGTCTGACAACGAATTTTTATTAGGTTACTTACGCCTAGTCGAGGTAATTTTGACCCACGAAAGGGAATGAAATAAATGCCTCGACGGTGGAGGGTGCGGTTGAAGATTTTGTACAATGCTACAGTCCAAGAAGAAATAAAAGTGAATATTTCCAATATAAAGGTAAATTGATGCTTACCTCGCGTGCTCAATTGATCTGGCAAAGCCGAAGGATTTGAAGACTCCAAATCACCAAAATAGGCACTACAATTAGCCTTAACAAATCCAACACAAGTTATTCTACAGATTGATCCCACTTTCGATAGCGGATGGTTAAAATAAAACCACTTGTAGAAATTCTTGGAGACACGCACTCAGCATCAAGCATTGAACAATAATGAATATGGCCGGAACCTATTTTCCGGTCCCCTAATAATGCGCAGTTGATAACCAATCCAAATTAAATTAATTATTATAAAAACTTTAAATTTTTGAACATAACCTGGGGATTTTTGGAAAGGTATGGAATTCCCTAGCTTTCAATTAACGAACTGTCTTTATTCGCTGTTGGCAACACTGATCTTTGACAGCCGTACTATCATGGCGAAGTAAACAAACTTTGCAGATACAATTAGGGACAAATCTCAGTAAGTACAATATGATTTTACTAAATAGCGATGGTGAATAATTTATTAACCCATAATTAACCTTTTAGAAACAGCCTAAGCTCACTTCTCGACGAGGTTATTCACAAACAAAGACATGGTAGAAATCACCTCTACTTGGGACAGAAAGGTAAGTTTATTTAATGTATAGAGGAAGGATATTAGGTAAATATTGAGTATTTTAGGTTATCAAGTCCCAAGAACTCCTTGCACACCCAGACAAAGCAGAATTCTCTGAATGGGGCTGGATCACGGTCAACAACTGAATTACCAACATTCCTACCAAATGGACAAAGGGAACTGATGTTTTATGGCTACAACGAAAAATTATAGCTGTATAATATAATAATAATAATTAGAGAACTATCGGCCAATGACAGCCAGCATTAGATAGATAAGGTTTCGTCAATAAAATAATTAATTCAATTAATTTGATTTGATTACAAGCAAAAATAAAAAAGGTAACAAAGGGCTTTTCATTAAAAATTAGAAATTCTTTGGGATGCCTTCTTAGAAAGAAACATCATCCATTCTTTATGTTAATTTCCCTATGCTATCTATTTTAAATGTTTTATTTTTTCAAAATTGTGAATATTAGAAGATTTAGGGTTTTTATTAAAAATTAGAAATTCTTCTTAAAAAAAAACATTGAAATCATCCATTTCTCATGTTAATTTTCCTATGCTATCTATTTTAAAGATTTTATATTTTCAAAATTCTGGATATTAGAAGATTTAGGGCTTTTCATTAAAAATTGGATTTTCTTTAGGATGCTTTCTTAGGAAGAAACATTGCCAAATTATGAATATTAGAAGATTTAGGGATTTTCATTAAAAATAAGATATTCTTTAGGACGCTTTCTTAGGAAGAAACATTGCCATCATTTATTACTCATGTTAATTTTCCTATGCTATCTATTTTAAATGTTTTATATTTTCAAAATTCTCGATATCAAGATTTAGGGCTTTTCATTGAAAATTGGATTTTCTTTAAGATGCCTTCTTAGGAAGAAACATTGCCATTATCCATTCCTCATGTTAATTTTCCTATGCTATCAATTTTAAATGTTTTATATTTTCAAAATTCTCGATAATAGAAGATTTAGGGCTTTTCATTGAAAATTGGATTTTTTTTAGGATGCCTTCTTAGGAAGAAACATTGCCATCATCCATTCCTTATGTTAATTTTCCCATGCTTTATATTTTCAAAATTCTGGATATTAGAAGATTTAGGGCTTTTCATTAAAAATTGGATTTTCTTTGGGATGCCTTTTTAGAAAGAAACATTGCCATCATCCATTCCTCATGTTAATTTTCCTATGCTATTTATTTTAAATGTTTTATATTTTCAAAATTTTGGATATTAGAAAATTTAGGGCTTTTTATTGAAAATTAGAAATTCTTAAGGATGGCTTCTTAGGAAAAAACATTGCCATCATCCATTCCTCATGTTAATTTTTCTATGCTATCTATTTTAAAGATTTTATATTTTTAAAATTTTAGAAGATTAGGGATTTTTATTAAAAATAAGATATTCTTTAGGACGCTATCTTAGGAAGAAACATTGTCATCATCTATTACTTATATTAATTTTCCTATGCTATCTATTTTAAATGTTTTATATTTTCAAAATTCTCGATATTAGAAGATTTAGGGCTTTTCATTAAAAATTGGATTTTCTTTAGGATGCCTTCTTAGAAAGAAACATTGCCATCATCCATTCCTCATGTTAATTTTCCTATGCTTTATATTTTCAAAATTCTCGATATTAGAAGATTTAGGGCTTTTCATTAAAAATTGGATTTTTTTAGGATGCCTTTTTAGAAAGAAACATTGCCATCATCCATTCCTCATGTTAATTTTCCTATGCTATCTATTTTAAATGTTTTATATTTTCAAAATTCTGGATATTAGAAAATTTAGGGCTTTTCATTGAAAATTAGAAATTCTTAAGGATGCCTTCTTAGGAAGAAACATTGCCATTATCCATACCTCATGTTAATTTTCCTATGCTATCTATTTGAAATGTTTCATATTTTCAAAATTCTGGATATTAGAAAATGTGGGGCTTTTCATTAAAAATTAAAAATTCTTTGGGATGCCTTCTTAGGAAGAAACATTGCCATCATCCATTCCTCATGTTAATTTTGCTGTGCTATCCATTTTAAATGTTTTAAATTTACAAAATTCTGGATATTAGAAGATTTAAGGCTTTTCATTAAAAATTGGATTTTCTTTAGGATGCCATCTTAGGAAAAAACATTGCCATCATCCATTCCTCATGTTAATTTTCTTATGCTATCAGTAGAATAGCTATGGGGCTTCTGGCTCACTATTCACATTTCGACCGCATGGTGGCGCCACATCCTGGGCTGTGCACTCGTTGGCGTTACACGATGGGCGGGAAATTCAAAATGGCCGCCGGCCGCCAACCAATTGCAGAAATAATGATGGGCGGGGCTTGTTGAGTTTAAAATGGCCGCCAACCAATTGTAAAAGTAATACTGGGAAATGCAAAATTATGACTCGTGGTGGCGCCACTTGCCCGGTTGATACTCAGCTTTAGTAATTGCACAATATTTCGAAATTTTAATTTATTGTGGCGCCACACTGGCGTTGTTTTTCTCACACATTGAGACGCACTTCCCTAGAGGCCCCATTGGGTGGTCACATTACAAGACGACACATTACAAGACAGTTATTTTTACGATGACAGTACTCGCGAACAGCAATTTGCTACCATGGATGATTACATAAATTAAGATACATCTTTTAATTTGTATTTAGATCAATTTGATAAAATTCCACGTGAATATGTTAAAGGATTTATACGAGACACTGAAAATAGATTTGATACTCATTATTTAACTTACGAACCAGTTTTGGGAAAATTTCACTATGGAAATTCAGAAATGGATTTTAAAGGAAATGATATTTTTATAAAGGACAAAAATAAAAAGGTAGAAGATAGAATATATAAGGGTACTTATGGTTTATATGAATTCTTGTTTAAAAATAAACCAAACGAAAGTTTAATGACTCCAGAAGATTTAAATAATTATAGAAATATTATATTGAGCACAAATGCACAAAAAAGAAATTTTGATGCAAATGCACAAAAAGCAGGAAATAGAGGTAATAAGTATATAAATGTAATTAAACCTTTACTTGATTTAGAGGAATCAAACAAACAAACTGAAACTCGAAATTAAGAGTGCCACAAACAAAACAACGACAGCAACGTCTTGGGAAAGAATTACAAATGCAATACACAAATAAATTAAAAGAATATGTTTATTGGGATGACTGTAATAAGTTAGTTGAACGATTAAGATTAATAATTAGTTCCCAATATGCAGGGAATAATAGTCATGCGAATGAAATAAAAAGCATAATTGAAGAGTTAAAAGAAGAATAGATTTCATAAATTAGAAACAATTTTATCATGTCCGTTGACAAGTTCGGACGTAGTTTACTTAATCATTTAAGAAAAAACCAAGAGAAAAAAATATCCACATATGGTTTATTAAATATTACATTAAAAAGTGCTAACTACCACATGCAAGCTAAAAAAATTGTGTATGATTTAAGCACTAATTATTCAATTTATGAAATTCCACTAAAAGAGGGAATTATAAGATAGTCTTCAAATTAAGATAAACAATAAATTGTATAAACCCGACAAATTGCTAAATTTTAAACTACAATTGGGTGAATCATTAGAATAACCTAAGCTCATTACGTATGTTTTTCTGGAAATGATTATTAAATATCCGATTTGAACAGAATGATAAAGAAAATTAAAAATAAATCTCAATTGCCTTCAATAGATTATAAACGTGAAATAGTAAGTGAATTACATGCACCAGCAAGAAAACAATTCAAGCGTAGAAGAGTTGTTATTCGCGGATTAAATGATTTATTTCAAGGTGATCTGGTTGAGATGATTCCTTTTGCAAAACAAAATAAAGGATTTAAATATATTTTGGTAATTATTAATGCATTTAGTAAGTTTGTGTGGGCTTTACCTATAAAGAATAAAACTTCAAAAGATGTAACACAGGCAATAAAAACATTTCTAATTAAACCAAATATTCCGAAAAACTTACAAACAGGCGCAGGGAAGGAGTTTTATAACAAAGACTTTAAGGGCCTTATGGATAAGTTAAAAATTAATCATTATTGTACATTTAGTACTAAAAAAGCATCTATTGTAGAACGAGTTAATCAAACATTAAAATCGTTAATGTGGATGGAATTTAGTTATCAAGGCAATTATAAGTGGTTAGAATTATTCCCTAAAATAGTACACAAATACAATTCTACTAAACATGGAACTATCAAAATGAAACGGATTGATGTGAATGCAAAGAATGAAAAAAGTTTGTTAAAATCAACCTTTAGCAATTTAAAAATGTTCAGTCCAAATAATAAATTTAAATATCGCGAGGCATTTTCTAAAGGGTACACGCCAAATTAGTCAAATGAAATTTTCACTGTAAAACAGGTTTAATTAACAAATCCTACAACTTACATCTTGAAGGATCAGTATGGAAAACCTATTCTGGGAGGTTTTTATGAATTCGAATTGCAAAAGGCAAAGTTTTCCGATATTCATTTGATTGAAAAAATTTTAAGGCGAAAAGGAACAAAAGTATACGTGAAATGGTTTGGAGAAAACGAGAAGAGTTGGATCAACAAAAATGACTTAGTTTAACATTATAATGTATAATTAATAAAAGACCAAATAAAAAACAATTTAGGATTTAAAAGTGTTTTATTTTCCCATAGTATATCATCTAATATGCTTTCAAATAAACTGTCTGAAATTTCACTTTATTTCATTAATTATAATCCATTAATCCTGCATAAACCAATTCGTCTTTAACTTCAATGCGTATATCGTAGTCGTCATCACTATTTTCAATATTTTCACGTTCACGTATATCCTGGATCATTTGTTGTATTAAAGTTGCAATATCTTGAACAACTGGTAAAGATTGTTTACATGGAATCCAGTCCAGTTTTAATGGTTCATGTCGTATACACAATGTTTGTTTCGATGCCCCAATCATGTTTTGATGGTACTGAAGATGTCATTTAATATTTATTTTAAAACACGATAGCCTTGGGGGTCTGGCTGGTGGACCTTGAGATCCTGTTTTAAAGTATTACACTTTAAATAAATTTTAATATTCCGCTCAAATCATAACATCATTTAGTTCTTCAAATGGAGCTTTTAGTCTTTTTTCTAGAATTTTAGTGCGTTGTGTGTGATGAAAAATATAGGAATTTATAACAGGTACGCAACATAAACTAATACTAATTATAGGTTGCAGTAGATAAACAAAAATATAAAGTAACGCACAGGATAATAAAAAATCGTGCGAATCATTTAAAAGGGATCTTTTATCGGTTAACTAAATAATGAAAAAAAATCGATTTGCTCTCTTTAAATAACAAACTTCCTTCCACTGTTTATAAATTAATAAACAAACTTGAACTGGAAAATTCCGAGAATTACGTTTGAATAAGTAGATGCAATTAAATATGCAAATAATAAAAATATGTGCCACCAGTGTGACGTCAGTCTTCATGAGTCATATTTTTACATTTTGCAATATTGCACAATATTTAATAATATTTTATTTTTTTGTTCGTCACTAGCAGGATCGGTGAAGCTGTCGGGGTGGCGAAAGCCGTATTTGCAATTTTAACACATCATTTTTGACAACTGTCATTTTTGATACTTATATATTTCGTTAATTTCCGATCAATTCCGAACGTTTCCGAATTCTTCCGGTAGCTCAAATGTTGTCAATGTCATAATAAAAAAACACATGCGAGAATTATGAATAAATAAATGTGTTTATAGCATTTTTGCATTTAAACGACTTCTTCACGTAATATGATAATTTTAATACAGGTATTTTTAAGTTATACAAAACATATATATATATATATATATATATTTAGTTATACAAAACATATATATATATACAGTGTGTCCCGCTTAAGACCTTACCACCCTCGTAAAATTTGCATTTTTCAACCGATTCTCGTAAACTTTTTTTTGTTGGATAGATCTCTGAAAAAGGCTTTAATCACATATGTCACTTGTTTTAACGACTAAACTCATGGCCAACTATGATCTCTTTTTGGGGTCGAAATTTCGACTATAAGGGATTTTTTCAGAGAAAAAGTAACCACGGATTATTGTTCGGGGCCACTTATAACCCAACTATATCAATTTTTACCGTTCTTAAATACAGGGTGTTCCAGATGGACGTTTTTTAATTTCTCGTAAAATTTGAATTTTTCAACTGATTTTCTTAAACTTTTTTTGTTGAAAAAGGCTTATTCGGGACCACTTAAAACCACACTAAACCAATTTTTATCGCTTTTAGATACAGGGTGTTCCAGCTGGACATGTTTTAATTTTTTGATAAAACCCTCGTAAAATTTGCATTTTTCAACGAATTTTCTTTAACTTTTTTTATGAAAAGGGCTTATTCGGGGCCACTTAAAACCCCACTAAACCAATTTTTATCGCTATTAGATACAGGGTGTTCCAGCTGGACATGTTTTAATTTTTTGATAAAACCCTCGTAAAATTTGCATTTTTCAACTGATTTTCTTATACTTTTTTGTTGAAAAAGGCTTATTCGGGACCACATAAAACCCCACTATACCAATTTTATCGCTATTAGATACAGGGTGTTCCAGCTGGACATGTTTTAATTTTTTGATAAAACCCTCGTATAATTTGCATTTTTCAAACCGATTTTCTTTAACTTTTTTTGTTGGATAGTTCCCTGAAAAAGGCTTTAAATGCATATGTTTTAGCGACTAAAGTCATGACGAACTGTGATATATTTTTAGTTTATCGAGATACGTAATGAAACACTTTCCGTCTCGCATTGTAATGTACTATTAATTAAAATCCGAATGGGAAAATTATCATTTAACCATCTCCTTATGCACAATAAATTCTATTAATTAAGAAAAGTATACCATGGAAAAAATTGAAAAGTAATCAACAACTACTGTCACTGTGCTTAACATAAGAAATATGGCATATTCTTTACAAGAAAAAGTGGAAATTGTACGATTAGTAGGCGACCGAATGCGTAGTTTTAGGAGAATTAATTTATTTTTTAACAAACACGGAAATGTAAACAAACTCTCCATTCAGCATTGTAACCGTGAGGTTCCAGCAAATCAAATAATTCTTGATAATTTTAATGAGAATCCCCGCTAAAGCATTAGAGGGGCAAGTAGAGTTTTAAATATAGGAAAAAAAAACTATCTGGAAATGCTTGAAAAAAAAATGGTAAGCAGCCAAAATTTCTCCATACACTCGAAGCTGGCGACCCTGAAAGAAGAATGGAATTCTGTTTATGGTTGCAAGGTATGTATTTGATTGATTGATTGATTTGAAGGGGAGCCTTTGCAGGCAGCACTTAGGCACACATACGGCCCATTGTGCAAACCCCCTTTTGGTGAAGCTCTGCCTTACCTTACGAGCCCGCAGCTTTTAAGAAAAGCGCAGACCCGCTCTAGTCGGGCATGCATTATTTCCTCTGGTTCCAAGTATCTGTCCCCTAGGTGTCTTAGTCTACTATTGACTAGAGCGTCGCATTCGCAGACTATATGCTCGGTAGTTTCGTCTACTTCGCTGCAGTACCTACAGTCCGACTCGTTGCTGAGTCCGGTTTTGTGTAGGTGGTATTTCACTACCCAGTGTCCTGTTAGGACTCCTGTGATGGTTCTTAACTGGTTCCTGTTAAGTTTCAGGAATCTTTTTGCCTCTTTGCAGGTAGTAGGACTCTTTATAAAGTCCCTTGACTGCCTGAGGCCTTGTTGTTCACGCCATTTTTTCTGGAACTGGTCGTTAGTCCAGTTCCTGATCTTGGTTTTTACCAGACAGGAGGCGACCCCTATGACAGGTTCCGGCCCCAAGAAGGCCGTGTTGCTGCCCTCACGAGCCAGCTGGTCTGCTTCTTCGTTGCCTCTGATGCCTCGATGACCCGGTACCCAGATAAGGTTAACCTTGTTGAGCACACTGAGTAGTTCGAGGGTTTTTATGCAGTCCAGTGTAAGTCTCGAGTTGACCCTTTCCGAGTGAAGAGCCCGGAGTGCTGCTTGACTGTCGCTGCATATGTAGATATGTTTACCCGAGTAGCCTCTCTAGAGATTCTCCTGGGCGCATATCTGGATGGCAAAGATTTCAGTCTGGTATACCGTTGGGTATCGACCTAGTGCAAGGCTTATTCTCGCCCCAGGTCGCTCTCCATATACACCAGCTCCTGCACCTTCTTTCATTAAAGACCCGTCTGTATACCAGATGAGCCCTTCCGGTTTGAGAAAGCCTGGGTCAGGCTCGCTCCAGTCGTTTCTGGAGGGAAAAACCACTTT